CATAAACACCTAATATGTATATATATATACATCATCAACATCATCATAGGTACAACAAGTCGGCCATCTTCCCAAAATGTACAAAACATCATCATCATATTCAACACAACAAGATACGCCACATGGGCACACAAAATCGTCAATAAACATGAAAACTCCCAAAAGCCCCGGTGTTACGTATCAGAGCAAACCCCACGACATCGCCACAATCCAAGCTAGCTAAACACCTGGATTATCTGTACTTCCAAAGAAGCATAAACCACAACAACAACAAATGGGTGAGAAATCATGATCAAATATAAACCGGTAATAATGTACATGAAATAAAGGCAGAAACATATAAACATCATTTCATATGCAACACACTCGGACCTACTGTCCCACCATCAACAATCACTACACACAACAATGCAACACATGCCACTCACACAATGATATACGGTACCGACTCACAACAACGATGGGCACCGGGCCATCAACCCTCCACAAAGGAGCACACATCACCGATGGGCACTAGGTCATCAACCCTCTATACAAGGAGCACAACAACAATATCGATGGACACCTGGCCATCACCCTCCTCACAGGGAGCACATCTCCGATGGTCACTAGGCCATCACCCTCCACACAGGGAGCACAACAACAATATCAATGGACACCTGGCCATCACCCTCCTCACAGGGAGCACATCTCCGATGGTCACTAGGCCATCACCCTCCACACAGGGAGCACAACAACACAACACGCCATGCATAACCCCAATGCATGCACACAACAACAATCACACATAATCAGCATACACGGTCCCCTGACCATATCTCATCATGCATCATATATACATATATCACACGTCACATACACGTCTAGCACACAAGGTACAATCCGATCCTACCGATCCATCCCTTACACAGCATAAAAACACTACTCACACAAGCGTATCGATCCTACAGATCCATCATATATCACATATAACACATATAACACATACACATACACATACACATCTTTACATATCACATAATCCATCGATTTTGTCCAATGCGCTAAACGTTGACCACACAACCCTCATAACCCTCAACATACTCTCAGCGCTCAACTATCATCACAGCACATCAGACCGATCACACTCAGCGCCAACAGCTGTACACAGCTCTCAAAAACCAAAACCTGCTACGTTCGCTACCTGCTCGCTACGCGAGCTCCTAGCGAATGCTCGCTACACGTTCGCCTAGCGAACCTCCTCGCGAATCACACTTCTGAGCCACTGGAAGTGTTCGGTATCACTGTGCTCAGCGAACTTGCTAGCGAGTACAGAAAAACAACCACTGTAATGGCTCGCTACACGCTCGCTACGCGAGCTGCCAGCGAAGGCTCGTTGCGCTTTCGCCTAGCGATGGGCTAGTGAAAGTCTGCGATTTCTGAAAAATAAAACTGCTACTCAGAATTCAGCAGCCCTCCCACTCTCCAATTTTCATCGGGACAACACCCAAATCATCGGCTTAAGGTCCTACCACCTAACTACAACATCCAAACTCAGTTTTACCTGATAAACCCTCATATCTGCTCAATTACCAACTTCCGACATAAAACTACGCATTACCCGGAAACCCCAATTCACCCAACAAACTCACTACAGCACATGCAACAGTTTCTAACACAATAATCACAACATATCAGAATCAGCAACATGCAAACAACATCAATTCATCATCGATAATGGGGATTAGGGAATTTCCCCTTTCTACCACATATTCATGCACTACCGAAATTAACCGATCAATTCCTCCCCCTTACCTCGAATTCGTTTAGATGATGAAGCTTCACAATCCGCAGCCGTTTTGATGCATCCTTTCCCGCTCTTGATCGCTCTTGCCCTTGCTGCTTCAACCGTGTTCTTCCCTTCCTCGTGTTCTTCCTTCCACTCTTTCACTTTCTATTTTCCCAAATGCTAATTCTGCCCCTCATCCCAAAAATATACAACTCTTATATTTCAAATAAATAATATTCTCCACATTTTCTTAATTCCATAATTAATAATCTTATTCCTTTTAATTCCAAAAATCGCATAATTATATTTTACTCCTATATATTAATATTAGTAATAATAATAATAATTAATAGCAATATTAACCTTACTACTAATTATCACATTTTATCACTATATATTAATATTATGATTTCTTGATTCTTCGAATAATTCCACACAAAACACGTCAACGGATACAATAACACCGAAACTAAAAATAATTAAAATGGGCGTTACACATACTTGTGAGCGGGATTGGGTTTTGCAAGTAACTTGACTGTGAGATTACCCGGTTTTCTTCACAGTTTGAATCTGTGTTCTGAGTATCAGTGGTTCCTACCGTCGGATCTATGCTATTGTTTTGACCAAGGCGAAGCGCCGGTTCTTCTCGATCAACAACACAGTGGTCTTGATCCCTTGTTTGTTGCATTTGCATTTCGCATTTTTGTTTTTGCATTTGCATCTCATTTTTGCATATCCCTCCTCAGCCGGATCAGGAAGCTCACCCATCTTTTATCCAACTCCGTTAGTTGATTTCCTGACATTCGCATTGGACTTGATTTAGCCTCCGGAAGAAGCATGGACCCAGAAGAGCAGAATGTGGTTGTTACAAGGGCAGAGTTTGAATTGATGAAGAATCAGTTGGATCAGATCATGGAAGCCATGACAGCTGTGACTAGGGGAGAGACCAATGTTCAGAGGACTCCAATGAACAATGTTGCTCAAGCTCAGCCTGTGCAGATTCCTGTTGAAGATCAAGAGCATCCTATTGCTAGAGATAGAGATTTATCTTCTCTTCATGACACGGACTATCAAAATTTCACCTTCCCTATGCCAGATTCTCAGAGGGTTGTTCCAAAGGTTAATGTTAGAGACCCACAGACTGCTGAGATTATGAGAAGATGTGAGCTGTTGGAAGAAAAGTTTGATACCCTAATGAGTCGGGATACTCTTAATCTGAATGCTTCGAGCATGTGTTTGGTGCCAGGTCCTGTGATGCCTCCGAAATTTAAGATGCTAAACTTTGAGAAGTACAAAGGGGTTAGTTGTCCGAAGCTACATCTGATAATGTTTTGCAGGAGAATGACTTCACATGTCCACAATGACAAACTGATGATTCACTGTTTCCAGGACAGTTTGAGCGGAGCATCGTTAAGTTGGTATATGCAGTTGGAAAGTGGTAGCATCAGATCATGGTCAGATCTAGCTAATGCCTTCGTGAAGCAGTACAACTACAATATCAACTTGGCTCCCAGTCGCGTGCAGTTACAAGAATTATCTCAGGCGGGGAATGAATCCTTTAGAGGGTATGTGCAGAGATGGAGAGAATTCGCTGCTCGTGTTCAACCACCGCTTCAGGATAGAGAACTAGTTGACATCTTATTGGGTACTCTGAAGGGCCATTACTATGATATATTGATTAGTGGTGGAACATTAAACTTTGCTGACTTAATGATGGCAGGGGAACGTGTTGAGAGCGAACTCAAAAATGGAAAGATTAGAGACATTCCTTTTATCTCAGTTGAGGAAAATGGATCAGTTGTCAGTTCACAAGAAGAATGGGAGAAAGGAAGTGATCTTATCTCAGAATCTCCAGTATCTCAGGGTCAGTCTTCAGACGTGTCAAGTGTTCAAAGCCAACAGTCATACCGTCATCAGCCGCGTCAGCACGCTCGACGAAGACCAAGGAAACCTGAAAGGCAGTTTACTCAGCTACCGATGTCGTACAGTCAGTTGTTGCCGGATTTGGTCAAAGGAGGGCTGATAGTGCCAAAAGAGACTAATCCAATGATCCTGCCGTATCCTCCAAGCTTCGATGTCAAAGCCCGCTGTGAGTACCATGTTGGGGCACAAGCGCACTCAACAGACGATTGTAAGGTGTTTAGGAGCCAAGTTCAGACTCTGCTAGACTCTAACAGGTTCTCCATCACGCCTCAGGGTATTATCCAGATTAATGATCCTCCTTCATCCAGCCATGGGGGCACAACAGTTCTTGTTATTTGAAAATATTGTAATTTAAAATAAAAACTAATTTTAATTTTTAAAAATTTTAAAACTAAAAAGAATTTAAATTTTTAAAAATTTCTAAACCAATAAAAAAAACGTTTGATTTGGTTTTATAAAATTGCTTTTTACTTTTTAAAATTTGAAAACAATAATTTTTTTTATAGCTTAAATTTACAAAATTATTTTTAAAAACTATTATATATTTAAGAGTATTAAAAATTAAAACTAATTTTAGAGATTTTGATTTTTAATTTTTAATTTTTAGTTTTAAAAGTTAGAAAAAAACCCAGAAAAATTGATATACAATGACAATTTTATAATAGTATAAATTAAGTAAAAAAAATTATTTATTATATACTGTTAATATAAAAAATTTTACATTATTAATTTTACATTATTATTTGTTTGCATTATTTTATAAGTAATTAAAATAAAAATTAAATTAATTTTAACCCCTAACATCTCTGATTAATTAAATGTATAAAATTCTCTGATAGTTTCGGTATATTTCAATTAAATTTTAAGTAAAATTATTAATTTTTTTTTACTTTTTTAAATTGATATATAAAATACTAAAAATTAAAAATAGTTCAAACCGTTACTTTTCTTTTTTTAAAATGTTGTAGAGAAGGGATGAATATGGAAATTTACTTTTTCTTTTTCTTGAATGGGTAGAGAAGGGATGAATATGATATATTTAGAAAATATATTTTTAATTTGTCAAAATTAAGAATACTTTGAGGAAATCATAACGCCCCCAAAGTGTCCTAACGACGTCGTTCTGAAGTATATTTCTCAGTGAAGCCTCAATCGGCATGTGGAAGCAAAGACACGCTACCAGTGTCGCAAGACAGCGCGCGCACATGAATTACAATGTAAAACGTCACCGTTTTAGATCTAGCACTGTCTCCAAACCCTAATTGTGTCTCTTCACCATTCCAATAACTCGAGCTTCGCGGTTTGCACAATGTCCTCCGATGACATCAATCTCGGTCCTGATCAGAGAATCGAAAACGGCCTCACTTCCCCCCTCGTCTTCCAAGACGATACTTTACGCTTCAACTGCGACGGTGCACCACAGCGGCAGGTCGGCGATCCGGTCGTTAAACCCCGGGAAGTCGGCGGTTTCATCGACGACAAAATGTTCACTGTAAATCGCGATCGGTTTTTCACCTCCCAGGGTGCCGAGTTCCGCCGTAACGTTTTTGCTGATCGCTCCGACCACAGAGATGCTCCAGATGTACTGAACTGGAGCGCGGGAACTCCCAGCAGCGATGATTCGGACGGAGAAGACGATGAAGATGATGATGGAGATGAAGGTGACGATGGCGGCGAAGATGTCACTGTAGTAGACAGACTCGTCAGTATCGGTGATGGGAGCAACCGGAGTTCAAATGCAATCATTGATGTTAACAATAACAACGGTGGTGGTGTTGTAATTGGAAAATCCCAGCATCATTCACCTTATGGTATGAACGAAGCAGATTTTTTTTTTGCCATGTTCCTTTTGAGTTTCAGAATGTAAACTTTAAATTCTTAGTTGTTTGTTTTGGTCATGTTTGAATCCTAGTTTCCGGTAGAGAGATGTTTGGAAAGGACGGAGAGATTGTACCGTTGGTGCATAACCATGGGAGTGGTACTGTTGGTGAAGATCATCAGCGAGAAAGATTAGGTAAAACTCAGAATTCTGCAACTGTTGCTGAAGCTGATTGTGAGGAGTATTATTCCCACTATCTTCAAGGTACGGAAGGGTCACCTTCTGTACAGAAAGTTATGGTGGATGACAATGGTTGTGGGTTTAGTGGAAGAAAGGATGCTGCGTATTCCAGCGAGTCAGGGGAATCATTGAGGGCAATTCTTTCAGATCCTGTTACGTAAGTCTCTTTCAGTTAATTAAAAAAGGTTTTAGTGGGTAGTACTAGTAGACTCTATGTTTCATTTAATGATGTGATTGTTGAGCAATATGATTTGAATGATTTGCTTTTTTGTTTTTATTTTTCATTTCTAATGGTTTCGAACCATTCCTCTGTTTTTAATTGATATTATATACAATACCATGCACTTTCCAACCTATAGAGATTATCTATTGGCATCAATTGATCCCTCATGTAAAAGTATGTGTCAAGCTTATTGTTAGGATTTCCTTAATTTTTTTATTCTCTTAATCAAAAGCTTTAATCTTCTGATGATGCAGAACATGAAAATCTAATTTGGTATTTTTACATCCATCTCCTTTGCAAGTATAGGGATCACATAAGTTTAATCTGCTGCTGATATCGTGTATGTTACCTATGTTTTTTTGGGGATATTTTTCTACTTTCTTATGTTGCATCTTCAGACTTGTACTTTTTGTTTTTGATTCATCTTCTTAAAATACAGTGGGACTCTTATGGATGATGCAATGATATTACCTTGTGGACATTCTTTTGGCGGAGGCGGAGTACAGCATGTTATTAGAATGGTGGGTTCTAAGCCATCAAAATGCCATAATTTTCAGACTGACCTTTTGTGTGACTAGTCTTCTGAAAAATGTTAATAACTATGGATCTGGTAATTTTCAGCCTCTTTCTCAAATATACGCCTCTATACAGTAGAATGGCAGCAGTCTCAAAGCTACTAATGGCACTTTGAACTAGTATTTGTCTCCAACATATTCTAAATTTCCTTCTTTGAGAATATGGAAAACTATTGGCTGTGTTGGGAGAAGACAGGAACTTAATTTTAATCAAACATTGATCAAAAGTTTAAATGGAAGAATATATAGAAGTCTATAAAAAATTATCAAATGAGAATGGACATTGTATGTTAGGTTATTAGTAGAGGCAAATAAGGCACTATTTCGGCGGAGCAGGGTGTTTCTATGACTGTGCTCCCTGGTGCACCGTGTATAGGGTGGTCCAGCTAGAACACCTGTTTTCGCACTTGGAGTGTGCAGTGCACCAGGGGATTTTTTTCAAAAATCCAAAATACCTTTACAAATATGGTGTTGTTGCTATGTGCGGCTAAAAATGTGGAATAGCATGCACAACAAGAGAGGGGAAGTAAAATCCCAAAAGTGTAGGGAATTTGGACTTTTTCACTGTTTCTTACAGCTTTCCTCCCTCGCATACTTGCTCCACAATGGCCAAACTTTGCATTGGAAGGTACCTCCTGACCACAGCAGGAGAACAAAGGGAGGAGGAAAGAGGGTAGAATCACAAACAGTAGAAGAATAATACACAGTAAGACTAAGTACTAAAAACATAAAAGAGCAGCGGCATTGTTGAGTGCTGCTGCTGCATTGCCATATGTGTTCTTAGGTTGTATTAAGTGTTAATGAAATGGTCTAACAGGCCTGTTGTTTTGGTTGGGCAATAATAGGCTGACGTGGGCTTCTTGTATGTATGAATTTGTAGATATAATGCTAATTATTTATATTTTAATTATCAACTATCTATATATAAGATAATATTGATTAATTAATCAATATAGAAAATATTGCAGGGCTGCACTGCGCTGCTGTTGAAACTTTACAACATTGATTGTATGTAGCTTTATTTCATACTTTTCTTGTTGTAAGAATCAAATTAACTTATGGTTCTTGAGGATTAGTAGATAATTTATATTTTCCTTGGGAGAAGCTCTGTATCCATCTATACTGTTCATGGACTAGAAATTTGAATGAATGTTAATTTGGTCGTCATTCACATCTGTATTTGTTTGGGTTGTGGATCTGCCTGCAGTATGATGTAGAAAATTTCAGAAATATTCATACCACTTTTTATAAATTTACATTTGTACATCACATGCAGTCAAGTAGTTAATATACAGCAGTGATGCAATTTTTTTCGTTTTTCAGAAAGCTTGTTGTACTTGCTCTCAACCCACACTAGAGGAATCAATATCTCCAAATCTTTGTGAGTCAATAATGTAGAAATTCAATTAATTTTCTTAAATAAGATATGGTCTCATAAACAAGTATTGGATATTCTTAGATAAATAATAATTTAGTATAATGCTTGGTCATATTTTGTTGGAATGTTTTGATTTTTTTTCTCGGATTTCTTCCTGTGGTGCTGCCTTCCTTGACAGCACTCCAAGCTGCTGTACAGGCGTACCGTCGGGAAGAGGAATCACAATTTTACCGATCATCCAAAAGAAGAAGAGAGAGATTTGATCAGGTATATCTCCATTTCTCAAACATGTTTAAACCTTCATAGAGAAATTCAGACATACGAAACGGAAATCAAGAATCACTTAGTTTGCTTTAGTTAATTACCTTGGCAGCTTTCATTTTTTAACGATAAATACTCACGACAGGGTGTTTTAGGAGAGTGTGCTGTTTTTGAACCATCAAGGAGCAGAGGTGTTCAATTTCCATTTGCTGTGACGGACAGGGTTATCATAAAGGTACTGTAAAGAGCATTGAGAATCAAGACTACTTCTGAAAGTTATTTACATTATTTTTAAAACTTACAAAAGAAGTAATTGGAGAGAAAATTGATCAGGGGAACAAAAGGACACCACAGCGCTTTGTTGGAAGGGAAGCTATTGTAACAACACAATGCCTGAATGGATGGTCAGTGACTTAACAACTTTTTCTCTCGTAGTTAATATCAAATCTTGATTTGTCATGTTTATTTTTATTATTAATATATAGTAGTAAATATTGTAACATGCCAATTTATTTATTGACTAATAAAACTGACCTGATAGATTTAATAGCATTACTTTTTGAAGATTTTGTATCAAAGATATCAAAGATTTAATAGCATTACCTTTTGAGGATTACAAATGTCTATAAATCCTAACTCAACAAGCAAATATGGATATTGTTAAGTTGGACACCATCAACTGGGTTCAAACCCGAGACCTTAAAGTTGTGAGTTTTTAGTGATTATTGCCCCTTCGTCTTCGAACCCAAAAAAAAAAAATGTTGCCTTGTATTGCTACAGTGCTTTTGGGAGCTGAGTTGCAGAAGTTGAAATTATTGTTATACTGTTATAGCTGGTTAGATGTACCTAGTAAAAATAGTGGATGTTGAGAAATAAATTTCTCTAGTTCTTTTGAACTTAACAACACATTTGCTTGGTTGAGACTTGGAAATAACTACAACGCCGGAATGTTGCTTTTAAGGAGCTATGTTAATCTTGCTTCTGCAGTTAATAAAAGACTTATTTATTAACAGGTATGTGGTGAAGACATTGGACAATGCAGAGAGTGTAAAATTGCAGTATCGCTCCCTTGCTAAGGTTTCTGATGATCCTTCAAAACTTGTCTCCAGCAACACGGGACCTAATTGGCTTCAGATTAGCCGCACTCCATCATAAAATGTGGTCGATAATATTTCTGCAATGTGTAAGCAATTTATGTTAAGCAACCATTTTACATAAAGAAGTTACTACTTTATGTTAAGCAATATATTGTTAATGCCCCAAACAAAATATCTGTTGTAACTCTACAATTGTATTGTAAGAAAACTGTACTAGCAGAGTTTGTAAATATGTATGCTTTGTATTTTTTGAGAGTATAGTATCTTAGCAACCATTTTATTCGGATACAGTAACAGATTTAATCCTTAAATAGAAGCTATTGTGACTTAAGAATCATTGTTACACAATAATTGATTTTATACTTAGTATGACATTCAGTGCTCCTATCTCCTCCCTAATCAGGAAGGGTACAATGCATTAGAAAAATATTAGAAAAGTGAAGTTGCTTGGAAAATGGATGGGTCTGAAATTTGTCTGAGAACACAAGGTGCTTATTTGAAAAATGGCTTTTTTTTTTTTTTTTTATCTAGCTTCTTTGATTTGGTTAAAGGTTTATTATAGTAAAAAATAGTTTCCGTTCCTCCATGTCGAGAATCAAGACTTGGGGATTTAGATATTTCAGGGCACTTCGTCAAGATACCAATTAAAGGCATGATTCAACTTTATTATGTTCTAACAAACAGGGAAAGTAGCCAGAAACACAAGCGAACTATTTTGGAAGTTTATGAGCTGAATCTGTCTCGTCATCTTCTCTCAAACTAGTCAAAATTTCATCTGCAGCATTCGGAGAACTCACAGTAATATGTGATCACAGTTCAACAAAAGTACAAAATGAGGGTGATTTGCACATTTCCAGCGGAATAGATGTTGGAAAAGTTACTTCGTTACACATACATCTATCAACCTTAATGGGCAAAAGAAGAGGGTCTAGAGTGGTGTGTTAAACTATCTTATATATGGACAATGCATATCATTTTACTATATTCTTTTTAAATATTTTATAAGATTGATCGACATAAATTATTAGTATAAAACTCGGTTACACAGACAACCAATTAAAATTCATATTTTATAGCATTAGATTATATAATAAAAATTGATAAAAAATTCTTATGTTAAATTAATTTAGTTGATAACTGAGCATGGAGATATTGAATATTGAGTTTAAATTTGTCATATTTATTTATTTATTTATTTTTGTCATATTTATTTATTTATTTATTTATTTTTAAGTCCAGATTTCCAAATTGTAATTGCTTTTCTTTTTCTTTGTTTTTTTTTAAATCTCGGATGCAATCTCTTATATTCATGTTCAGTGCCTGATCTAGTGCACACGTGACATATGTTGGGGTTATAGGTTCAATATTTTAATTTTTCTATTATTTTAATGATGTAATTTGTGTTTCAATTTCTTTGTGAACATTTATATATTTTGGAGAAATTATTTTCAGTGTTACTGTGAATGATAATTCTTACTCTCATTTTCTCTTTCTCAATTTCTCTCCCTCTTCACACTTGATTTCCCCATTATTCATTAATTTTATAGTTTCAAATTTTAACATTTAGTATTAGAGTCTAGTTTGAGTGAAGAGACTGATTCATTTATATCAAAAATATTCTCACATGATCGTGGATAGAGTGTCTAGTTAAAGAGTTTCAACAACGGCACATGTGTATGTAATAAAAAAAAACTTCCATTTGAGGAGAGCATTGTGGATCACATTTAAGGGGAGTGTTGAAATGACAAAAGTGAGTAGTGTGGAGAAGTTCCACACTTGTAAGAAATATGGAGACTTGAACATTTATAAATGAGAAAACTCATACCTATCATCTTAAGATTTTGAGTGATTATGTGATGTGTCTATCACAAATGTGTGTTGTTTTTAAAGAAAAGTTTCAAAGTAATATTCACTTGTGTTGATCTCTCAAATTAACCCAACAATAAATATGTAGATTTTTTCATTTATAAATGTTCAAGTCTTCACATTTCTAACAATGTAGAACATTCGCACACTAACACACTTGTTATTCTTAATAACATAAGGAAATCAACTCAAGCATTCCAAATTTATTTAAATAATTTATTAGAAATTCATTTATAAGTATTGATGGAGTGGTGACAATTAATCCCTCTGTCCCAAATTATAAGTCATTTTGTAAAAATAAATTGTTATAAATTATAAGTCACCTTGCATTTTCAATGCAATATGAATTGAGTGAAAATTGGAGAAGTTTGTATGCACCCCACATCATGAAGAAAGTGTGACTTGAAATCACTCAAAAGTCAGTCAAAACTTGCGTTTTAAGGCTCAATTAAACTTTGGACACTTCACTAAACATGTTTAAGTGATTAACTCGTGCCAAATTAACATGTAATTGGAGATTAGATGAATTAAAATTCTAATCATGGAGCTTTCTTCAGTTTCAAGTCACCATGAAGAAAATGTGACTTGAGATCACTCAAAACTCAGCCAAAACTTGCGTTTTAAGGCTTAACTAAAATTTGAAAACTTCACTAAACATGTTTAAGTGATTAACTCGTGCCAAATTGACTTGTAATTGGAGATTAAATTGTTAGACTATGGCACGGATCTAGAAGGGGGGGTTGAATAGATCCCCAATTAAAATTTGAGTCGGCGCTACCAATTTAAAATTGGTTTTAAAAATGTTTTAAGTGCGGAAGCGGCCGAGGAAAAATATAGTCTAAAACGAACGGTTATTGAAAAACCGGATATACGTAAGCCTATGGATTTATGACAATTCGGAAAAATAGAATCACAACACAAACTATGCTTATCAATTATTTACTTCAATTGCAAGGTTACCTAGTTCCAATGATCCAAAAATTAAACCAAAACTAGATACACAAGTAAGGTAATTTTGGTTCAAGCAATATGTCAAACACTTGGTGTGCAAAGACACTCCAAGTGATGTTTATGTTGAGTAAGTGATTTCAATCAGCCTAGTACAACGTTTTGTTGTACGTTAGAGTTAAAAACAATGTTTTAATCTCTTACTCAATTTATATCACAGTTTTGACACAAGAGCTTACACAAAAATTACTTATTTGAGCGGTAACGAAAATGCTGAAAATAAAGAAGACAAGTAATTTGGTGAGGCAGTTCCCCCGTCGTCCTCGCTTCGGGGTACGTCTGCCCTCAATTCTAAAACTAGAATTGAGATATATTGTATAGATATCACCTGTTTGAATGAACAGTTTATACAAGGATTGAGCAGCAAAATTACAACAAAAATCTCAATGTGTTGAAAGTTGCCTTCACTCCTTGCCCCTTGATTCAAGCTGAATCAAGTTCTTCGATTTGTGTTGGTGGACCTCCGACTCCAGCCACCTTATTGAAGAACACGTTGTTGTTCAAACCTTTGGCTCCGGCTGATCTCAACAGCACCAAATCGAACCCGAGACCTTCCCTTCAAAGTCACCGAATCCGCTACTAGACTTGTGAAGACCACCTCTTCACAATCACCTTCGCTCGATTGATCGTTGATGAAGAATCTCGTCCAAAAACCCCCAAAATTAGAACCAATCTTGGAGGGAAAAACCCCAATGGTTTTATTCAAGAAAGAACCTGTCGCAATCTTCAACCCGAGCTTGATTCTCCAATCTAAGCCTCGAACCTTATCGCCTTGAATCTCTCACAAATGCATTTCAAAAATGATTGTGTGTAATTGAAATATTGTGAGAGGTTGAAGATGAAGATGATGAATCTTGGACACCTATTTCACTCTTTCTTGTTTTTGAACACATGAATCAAAAGAATATCAAATGTTGTTAGACACAAGTGTTTAAGCAAGTATATATAGAGCCCACAAAATTCAGAACACAACAGTATTTCAAATATGAGAGGGAACAAAGTTAAAAACAGTTTTTCCGCGCGAACGGTCGACCATAACAGGTCTATGCGTCGACGCATGGCCTGTGATGTTTTGAATTTCTGGAAACTTCATCAGTATGCGTCGACCATACAGTCGGCGTGCGCTGACCCGTTGGAATTCTTTTCCTTTGTGCGCCGACCCTATGGTCGACCAAAGCTTTCATGCGTTGACCCGTTGGAAAATTATCCTTTCATACGCTGACCCAATGGTCGACATATGCTTTGTGCGCTGACAGTCCTTCCCTTGTTTTTGATGGATACGTCGACCCTTTGGTCGACCCATGTCCTGTAATCCTGCAAAATATTGTTAGTTTGAAGTTTCTCATGCCTTTAGTCATGATTGCAGTTTGTCAACTCAATGTATATTTCTTTAAGACAAATTAAGACAAGTAAAAGGATAATATGCTGAGTGATATGTTGCATCTGGTTAGTGAATCTGGAACTCATACTTTCCAGTCTATCCTGGGAATTTGTCATCATCGAAACCTGCATTTACCAATGTCTTGCAGCTTTGTGTGATATGTGGCGACTTGCCTCCACAATCTCCCCCTTTTTGATGATGACAACCTGTATACATTTAAACACCAAAATATGCAACATATACACACGCACACAAGAATACATAAGCTCCCCCTTTCTTTTGCACTATGAGGTTGTAGAACAACAATCATCAAATGTTGTTACTATCCTGAACTATTGGCTTTGGTGTTTGCTTGCAACATTGCCTTCTCCCCCTTTGACACCATCAAAAAGAGAAGAGGAACACATCAAATAACATAGTACAGACAATAGGTGATAGTTGATTATCAAACTTCACACACAAGCATGATAATGAACAAAATACTGGAATTAATAGATAATGACGAACACATGTAATTAAAGTTCAGGCACAGATAATACAAAACAAATGAAAAGTACACAGACTAAAACATATAAGCAAATATGAAATATGCAGCTATGAATCTAATAACCACGCCCCCGTCCTCGTCCTCTCCCTCGATATGGAGCATCTGGATTTTGGTAGGGATCCGAGAAGTTCAAAAAGGCCTCGACGGACATGTTGAGATGACTAAGAGCGTTGGTGATTTCCCAATCTTGCCGCCCATGAGATTCAACCAGAGAGTCAATACGGGCATCCATCCGAGTAGAGAAAGAATTGAACCT